TCACAAAATGCTCCAGTCACAAAATGCTCCAGTCACAAAATGCTCCAGTCACAAAATGCTCCATTCACAAAATGCTCCAATTGTAAAATGCTCCAGTCGCAAAATGCTCCAGTCACAAAATGCTCCAGTCACAAAATGCTCCAGTCACAAAATGCTCCAGTCACAAAATGCTCCAATTGTAAAATGCTCCAGTCGCAAAATGCTCCAGTCGCAAAATGCTCCAGTCACAAAATGCTCCAGTCGCAAAATGCTCCAGTCGCAAAATGCTCCAGTCGCAAAATGCTCCAGTCGCAAAATGCTCCAGTCACAAAATGCTCCAGTCACAAAATGCTCCAGTCACAAAATGCTCCAGTCACAAAATGCTCCAGTCGCAAAATGCTCCAGTCACAAAATGCTCCAATTGTAAAATGCTCCAGTCACAAAATGCTCCAGTCACAAAATGCTCCAATTGTAAAATGCTCCAGTCGCAAAATGCTCCAGTCGCAAAATGCTCCAGTCACAAAATGCTCCAGTCACAAAATGCTCCAGTCGCAAAATGCTCCAGTCACAAAATGCTCTAGTCGCAAAATGCTCCAATTGCAGAATGCTCCAGTCGCAAAATGCTCCAGTTGCAAAATGTTCCATTGGCTAAATGCTCCATTGGCAAAATGCTCCAATTGCAGAATGCTCCAGTCGCAAAATGCTCCAGTCGCAAAATGCTCCATTGGCAAAATGCTCCAGTCGCAAAATGCTCCAATTGCAGAATGCTCCAGTCGCAAAATGCTCTAGTCGCAAAATGCTCTAGTCGCAAAATGCTCCAATTGCAGAATGCTCCAGTCGCAAAATGCTCCAGTCGCAAAATGCTCCAGTCGCGAAATGCTCCAGTCGCAAAATGCTCCAGTCACAAAATGCTCCAGTCACAAAATGCTCCAGTCACAAAATGCTCCAGTCACAAAATGCTCCAGTCGCAAAATGCTCCAGTCACAAAATGCTCCAATTGTAAAATGCTCCAGTCACAAAATGCTCCAGTCACAAAATGCTCCAATTGTAAAATGCTCCAGTCGCAAAATGCTCCAGTCACAAAATGCTCCAGTCACAAAATGCTCCAGTCGCAAAATGCTCCAGTCACAAAATGCTCTAGTCGCAAAATGCTCCAATTGCAGAATGCTCCAGTCGCAAAATGCTCCAGTTGCAAAATGTTCCATTGGCTAAATGCTCCATTGGCAAAATGCTCCAATTGCAGAATGCTCCAGTCGCAAAATGCTCCAGTCGCAAAATGCTCCATTGGCAAAATGCTCCAGTCGCAAAATGCTCCAATTGCAGAATGCTCCAGTCGCAAAATGCTCTAGTCGCAAAATGCTCTAGTCGCAAAATGCTCCAATTGCAGAATGCTCCAGTCGCAAAATGCTCCAGTCACAAAATGCTCCAATTGTAAAATGCTCCAGTCACAAAATGCTCCAGTCACAAAATGCTCCAATTGTAAAATGCTCCAGTCGCAAAATGCTCCAGTCACAAAATGCTCCAGTCACAAAATGCTCCAGTCGCAAAATGCTCCAGTCACAAAATGCTCTAGTCGCAAAATGCTCCAATTGCAGAATGCTCCAGTCGCAAAATGCTCCAGTTGCAAAATGTTCCATTGGCTAAATGCTCCATTGGCAAAATGCTCCAATTGCAGAATGCTCCAGTCGCAAAATGCTCCAGTCGCAAAATGCTCCATTGGCAAAATGCTCCAATTGCAGAATGCTCCAGTCGCAAAATGCTCCAGTCGCAAAATGCTCCAGTCACAAAATGCTCCAATTGTAAAATGCTCCAGTCACAAAATGCTCCAGTCACAAAATGCTCCAGTCGCAAAATGCTCCAGTCACAAAATGCTCTAGTCGCAAAATGCTCCAATTGCAGAATGCTCCAGTCGCAAAATGCTCCAGTTGCAAAATGTTCCATTGGCTAAATGCTCCAGTCGCAAAATGCTCCAATTGCAGAATGCTCCAGTCGCAAAATGCTCTAGTCGCAAAATGCTCTAGTCGCAAAATGCTCTAGTCGCAAAATGCTCCAATTGCAGAATGCTCCAGTCGCAAAATGCTCTAGTCGCAAAATGCTCCAATTGCAGAATGCTCCAGTCGCAAAATGCTCCAGTCGCAAAATGCTCCAGTCGCAAAATGCTCCAGTCACAAAATGCTCCAGTCACAAAATGCTCCAGTCACAAAATGCTCCAGTCACAAAATGCTCCAGTCACAAAATGCTCCATTCACAAAATGCTCCAATTGTAAAATGCTCCAGTCGCAAAATGCTCCAGTCACAAAATGCTCCAGTCACAAAATGCTCCAGTCACAAAATGCTCCAGTCACAAAATGCTCCAATTGTAAAATGCTCCAGTCGCAAAATGCTCCAGTCGCAAAATGCTCCAGTCACAAAATGCTCCAGTCGCAAAATGCTCCAGTCGCAAAATGCTCCAGTCACAAAATGCTCCAGTCGCAAAATGCTCCAGTCACAAAATGCTCCAGTCACAAAATGCTCCAGTCACAAAATGCTCCAGTCACAAAATGCTCCAGTCACAAAATGCTCCAGTCGCAAAATGCTTCAGTCACAAACTGCTCCAGTCACAAAATGCTCCAGTCGCAAAATGCTCCAGTCGCAAAATGCTCCAGTCACAAAATGCTCCAGTCACAAAATGCTCCAGTCACAAAATGCTCCAGTCGCAAAATGCTCCAGTCACAAAATGCTCCAGTCGCAAAATGCTCCAGTCACAAAATGCTCCAGTCACAAAATGCTCCAGTCACAAAATGCTCCAATTGTAAAATGCTCCAGTCGCAAAATGCTCCAATTGTAAAATGCTCCAGTCGCAAAAATGCTCCAGTCGCAAAATGCTCCAGTCACAAAATGCTCCAGTCACAAAATGCTCCAGTCACAAAATGCTCCAGTCGCAAAATGCTCCAGTCACAAAATGCTCCAGTCACAAAATGCTCCAATTGTAAAATGCTCCAGTCGCAAAATGCTCCAATTGTAAAATGCTCCAGTCGCAAAATGCTCCAGTCGCAAAATGCTCCAGTCGCAAAATGCTCCAGTCACAAAATGCTCCAGTCACAAAATGCTCCAATTGTAAAATGCTCCAGTCGCAAAATGCTCCAGTCGCAAAATGCTCCAGTCGCAAAATGCTCCAGTCGCAAAATGCTCCAGTCGCAAAATGCTCCAGTCACAAAATGCTCCAGTCACAAAATGCTCCAGTCACAAAATGCTCCAGTCACAAAATGCTCCAATTGTAAAATGCTCCAGTCACAAAATGCTCCAATTGTAAAATGCTCCAGTCGCAAAATGCTCCAGTCGCAAAATGCTTCAGTCACAAACTGCTCCAGTCACAAAATGCTCCAGTCACAAAATGCTCCAGTCACAAAATGCTCCAATTTTAAAATGCTCCAGTCACAAAATGCTCCAATTGTAAAATGCTCCAGTCGCAAAATGCTCCAATTATAAAATGCTCCAGTCGCAAAATGCTCCAGTCACAAAATGCTCCAGTCACAAAATGCTTCAGTCAGAAAATGCTCCAGTCACAAAATGCTCCAGTCACAAAATGCTCCAGTCGCAAAATGCTCCAATTATAAAATGCTCCAGTCGCAAAATGCTCCAGTCGCAAAATGCTCCAGTCACAAAATGCTCCAGTCACAAAATGCTCCAGTCACAAAATGCTCCAATTGTAAAATGCTCCAGTCGCAAAATGCTCCAATTGTAAAATACTCCAGTCGCAAAATGCTCCAGTCGCAAAATGCTCCAGTCGCAAAATGCTCCAGTCGCAAAATGCTCCAGTCGCAAAATGCTCCAGTCACAAAATGCTCCAGTCGCAAAATGCTCCAGTCACAAAATGCTCCAGTCGCAAAATGCTCCAGTCGCAAAATGCTCCAGTCACAAAATGCTCCAGTCACAAAATGCTCCAGTCACAAAATGCTCCAGTCACAAAATGCTCCAGTCACAAAATGCTCCAGTCACAAAATGCTCCAGTAACAAAATGCTCCAGTCACAAAATGCTCCAGTCGCAAAATGCTTCAGTCACAAACTGCTCCAGTCACAAAATGCTCCAATTGTAAAATGCTCCAGTCACAAAATGCTCCAGTCACAAAATGCTCCAATTGTAAAATGCTCCAGTCACAAAATGCTCCAGTCACAAAATGCTCCAGTCACAAAATGCTCCAGTCACAAAATGCTCCAATTGTAAAATGCTCCAGTCACAAAATGCTCCAATTGTAAAATGCTCCAGTCACAAAATGCTCCAGTCACAAAATGCTCCAGTCACAAAATGCTCCAGTCGCAAAATGCTCCAGTCACAAAATGCTCCAGTCGCAAAATGCTCCAGTCGCAAAATGCTCCAGTCACAAAATGCTCCAGTCACAAAATGCTCCAGTCACAAAATGCTCCAGTCACAAAATGCTCCCTTCACAAAATGCTCCAATTGTAAAATGCTCCAGTCACAAAATGCTCCAGTCAGCAAATGTAACAAAATGCTCCAGTCCAAAATGCTCCAGTAAAATAAGCATGTAACAAAATGAGCATGTAACGAAATACTCCAGTCACAAAATGCTCCAGTCACAAAATGAGCTCCTTTAACAAAATAAGCAAGTAAAATGAGTCGTGTAACAAAATGAGCAATGAAAATAAGAATGTAACAAAATGAGCAAGTAAAATGAGCATTTAACAAAATAAGCTCAGTCAAAATAAGCAATGTAAAATCACGACCCTTTACCTCGATAAGAGGTGTTTATATTTTCCAGACGCCAAAATTGTAACATTCTCAAGTAGAATATGCTAACTTGTTCCAGAACAAATTTAAATTTCTAGTTTACTTTTATTGAATTTAATTAATTTAATTTCATTGTCAGTGGGCCGGTTTTTATATTTTATGCTGTTAAAATTTTTACATTTTATTAACAGTTTTTGGACATTTATTCGATTTTTTTTGCTCATTTTTTTTTATTTTATTGATATAATGTACATATATATTATGGCAAGGATCTTTCTTTTGTCTTTTCGCTTATCTAAAGAGAGCCAGGAGAAGAAGACCCGTCGGACTTCAACTGACTAGCTCCACTTGTTCTAGCTACTTGATTCTCGGCAAGCAACTGGGCCTGGGCCACCTGTTGCTGTTCTTCATTGAGCTTGGGTCTGTATCTCAAATCGATGGTGTTTGTCTTACAGATCTGGGCAAAGACTCGCGCCGAAATCTTGGGGGTTCTTGTGCGTTTCGGGGAATTGAAGTCCACATGATAGAGGCCAAACTTCTCCGTGAAGCCAACCTTCCACTCATAGCTGTCCATCAGAGACCAGGCGATATAGCCAGTGATATTTACACCATCCTCGATGGCATCCAGCACCGCTGAGAGATAGAGGTTATAGTAATCCACACGAGCGTAATCCTCCAGACCACCACGATCACTGACGCCATTCTCCGTTACCAATATCTCGGGTGCATTGTACTCCCGGTTTATCCACATCAACAGATTGTACATTCCCTTGGGATAGACCTGCAAAAATAGAGTAAGTTTACTAAGCGCAAGAAGAATTATTTACAAAACTTTTTAAGAGCTTTAAACATGTAACGCTCAATTCTAGGAGGACATTATTCAACGAATTCATAAAGACATAGAATAATACCAACTTATCAAAAGTTTCCAAAAGAAAATAATTGTTTTGAAATATGCTTGGGGTTCTTGGGGTTCCTACGCAGCGCAAGTTTATTTCATCGGAGTCCCACGGCCCCTGTAACGCCCACCTCTTTAAAGATTTTGGAAAAAAATAAATGCAATTTGGTTGTGTTTATCAATACCTATTGAAATGTAGAAGACATTTTTCAAATTGGACCACTCATTAAAAAGTTATGCGCAATCAAAAAAATGTTTTATATCCATCTCCCTCGCACACCCATTAGCTGAGTGACGGGCATTAGATAGTCGGGACACCAACCAACTATAGCGTTCTCTCTTGTTACACTTACCTTCAGCCAATCGGATCCCGAACTGGGCCAGTCGACGCCCTTCTGGGTCTCCACCACTCCCATATCATGATTGAACGAAGGAACCGGAAACTGGCCGGTATTATTGTGTCCATTCAAAGTGACCAGTTTGGTGGTGTACGAATTGATACCGAAGAAATCGGAGGTGCCTCGGATGCGATGAATCTCCTCCGTGGTGAATTCGGGCAATCTGGATCGAACACCAAAACCCTGCTTTTTGCTTAGATTCCTGATCCTCTCGATCATCACCTTGGGATAGTTGCCGTGCTCGGAGAAGATGGGATGTGCGAACCAGCCCAAATAGAACTGCATGGCTCGCTCGGAGGCCTCGCGATCGTCGGTGGAATTAATATCCTTGGGCTCCATCCAGGATGTATCCAAGGTAATGCCAATGCGTCCACCTTGTTTCGACTGAAATTGTTCGCGATACATGTGCACCACCTCAGCGTGGGCTTTCAGCAAGTTGTGACCACACAGATAGGAGGGAATGCCAGGGTAATTATAGGACGGTGCCATGTAATCCAGTCCGAGGCCACACTCACACACATGCCACGGCTCGTTGATTGTGGTCCAGGTTTTCACCCGATCACCGTACGTTTTCAGCACAAAGCGAGCGTAATCCTTGAACAGAGGTATAATCTCCGGATTGGTCCAACCTCCTAGCTCTTGAAGCTTTTGGGGCAGGTCCCAATGGTAGATCGTCACCATCGGTGTAATATTGTACCGGAGCAGCTCGTCGATCAGATTTGAGTAGTATTTAATGCCTGCCGTGCTGACGCGATTCTTATATCCACCGGGCATTATTCGGGGCCAGGACAAGGAGAATCGGTACGTGCCAACATTCAGTTTTTTCACCATTTGAACATCCCGTTTCCACTAAAAAGGTTAAAATTATTAAGATTATTATTAAAACGGTTTAATGAGCAAAAGACTATATTTATGAACAAAAGCTTTGAAAAATGGTATTTAAATTCCCCAAAATTATTTTGTATCATTCATTATAATTACCTAATTATAATTGAATTATAATTCAATCTAATCAATTTCCTTTAAAAATGGGACAGACAACACTATGCAGCATCAAAAATTTACCTCGATGGATGCTATATTTTTGGATTCGTTACGAATTCCCATGTTAAACTGCATTTTCCAAAGAGTTCCCCGATGCAAAAATTCTTAGCAAAAGGACCTCAAAGTTCGAAAAATGCTGAAATTGACCAACTTTACGGAGCTCTCAGAAGCAAATGGACGCATGATTCGATGTTAAAGTTTTTTAAAAGATGCACCCTTTATCTTTCCAACCCTATACTTAAAATAATATAGAATCCAAATATATCCAAAAAATATAGTTAATGTGCTTATTAACCAATTGAGGCATGAGTTGATAATCGGCTTACCTGATGATAGCTGTCCGCCGAGATATCAGCGTTTGATTGATCGGCTATTTTCTCGGGATGTGTGTGGGTGAGAAAGTCCCAGATCGATTCCCCCTTATCATCCGCGTTCCAGCCTCCCTCGATTTGGTAAGCAGATGAACCAACTCCCCAGAGAAAGTCGTTTGGGAATCGACGAATTTGGCTTTCGGGCCTGCCAAGACATCTGTAAGGATAATGTGTTAATCGAAAGATGTTAGTAAATCTTCAAATTTCCCTCTTTGCTCTTTCATATTTTTTTAAATTTTATAATTTATAATTTGGGCAATCATCAATATCAATAACCGATTGGCTGGTAAGGTCAGTCCCAAATGCGCTTTCTTATATAAATGTAATACTGTGAATGCAATTAATTATACTTTTATTAAGGCAATTGCTTTGCTGAAATGGTTAAAATAATGATAATAATAAATAATAATTTTATTTTTTTATAAATATTCCGATTTCATAAATTCGAAAAATTAACACTTACGAGGTAATCAGCAACAATACGGGCAGTATAAATTTGAACATTTTTGTACGTTGAGGGTACGATTGTCACTTTTTTGTTTGATTGTCTATCCTTAAACGCGAAAATATTTTATGACACTCAATAATTTTGAACAAAAAACCCGTACGTTTTTGCCTAAAACGTTTCGCGGGTTGCTCCCGCTTTTTACTGAGCAGCGATTACGATCCGACCGCAAAAAGTTTGCAAATGAACTGCAGTGCTTTTATGTCCTACCTTTATAAAGTGTTTTGGCGGGCTTGGAGTATCATAGACAGGTTCTCGCTTACTCTCTTTCTCTCACTCAGCGGAGATTACCAACAGGTGTCAATTTTATACTATCTCTTTTCTTCTTATCACATATCCTACGTATCCTAGTTTTTTTTTAGTACATAAGTATTATTTTTTGTAAATACGTGTTAAAATTTTTTTAAAAATATCCACAATAGACACTTTTATTGCATCGAATTATCAAATATTGTATATAGTATGCACCTAATCAAAAGAATTGTCAAAAGAGAAAGAAAAATATATCGTCATAAATAAAGCACACAGACCTCGAGACCAGACTAAAAACAAAGTTTAAACAAGTGCAAGTAAAAAGAATGATAAAGAAAAGAGAGTTACGTTCCCGGAGAGACTAAAAATTGGGAGAAATTAGATTAAATCGGATTGATAAGAGCTAAAATCTCCCAAGTGGCCACATCTTTCCCGAAGCTCCGATTTTCATTGAACTTTTTGGCTTTTTCTGTTTACAATCACAAAATAAGAACTTCATTTGAACGGTCTTCCAAAATATTCAAGGTATCCCCAAAACTGTTGAATGGTTGAAAATTCAACAGAAAATTTCAACAATTATGGGCACGACTTAAAATGGCTCCTGTTGAATTTTCAAACAGCTGTTATTTCTTGAAAAGTTTAACAAAACTTAAAACATGTAAAATTTGATTTATTATTGCTCGTTACTGTCTAAAATTGTTACCAAGGTAAAAAGAGCCACAAATATGCTTTCTAAGTTGATTTTGAAATAAATAATGCGTACTGGTGATACTAAAATGTAACAGAGTTGCCATGACTTTTGATAAAAAGGGTAAATACTTGGTTTTCAACGATTCAACAAAACTTTCAACAGCCTCGAGGCTATTGAATTGCTGAAATTTCTGAATGTTGACTTTGTATGGAACAGCTTATTAAAAATTCAACAATTCAGAAATTCAACAGTTTAGGGAATATTCAGATTAAGTTTTAAGTTGAGTTCATAACAAATAACAGCTGTTTGAAAATTAAAAATAAACATTTATTTCGTTCCCTCAATTCTTTTAAATGTTCAACAATGTAGCAGATTATATTTTGTTTTAATACTTATTTTTAACAAATGAAAACAGATTTCCATTTGAAAATATCGCACTATCGTAAATATCTTTCTCTGGTTATCTCATCGTAGTATTTTGGCAGAATAACGCCTCGGTCACACCGTTTGTTATCGATAAATATCGCCTAAAACATCGACTTCGGGCACATCACTATGGCCGGCTGTTTCTGTTTGGATCGCATTTTGAATTTGAAAGCTCGCCGAAGCGGTTCGGTTCAGTTGCGTCGTCGCGAGTGCGCCAAGAAATAGCGAAAAATTCAAAGACTTGAGTGGGGAGGCCAAACCGAGTGGGTAGCCGCCATGTTGCCGCTGCAGGAGTCGCAGTCCTCGAGCTGGCAGCTGGAGGACTACGCGTTCTTCCGCAAGTGCGGCGAAATCACCGCCTCGCCGGACGTCCAGAGCTTCGGCTTCAACTGCGCCTTCTGCCCGGCGATCTGCCTGCAGTTCTCCGTCTTCATGGACCACATCCGGGTGCAGCACACCCAGGACATGAGGCGGCGCTACGAGGCGGGGGAGGGGACGCGCAGCCAGCAGCAGACGCAGACCGATCTGGTGATAATGGAGCTCGACTGCCCCGAGATATATCCGCCGGAGGAGGGTCAGGGTAAATCCAGCTGGGAGACGGACATGGATATCCAGCTAATGAGCCTCGTTCCGACGACTCCCGCACTGCAAGCACCACCTGAATCACCCGAAATAGATTTGGTCTATGTGGTGGAAAATCCATTGCCACCCTCGCCGCCGCCCTCGGCGGACATTTCGGGCGACGAGCTGGCCGGGAACTGTCTGCAGTCCTACGACCTGGATCCCTTTGCCGTGCTGCACGAGGTGGTAGCGATGACTCCGCCCACACCCATTGCTCCACCACCACCGGTAACAGCGACTCCGCTTCCACTGCCGCGCTACGAGACACGACGCGTGGTAAGTTAATCACCGCTGCCCATTCGCAGTCCCCAGCCACAGTGAACTACCGCTACCGCAAACAATATTTATCGCAGATTATATTTGTATCTTGCGAGCTTGGTTAGACAAACAGCATTGTAAATAATTATATCTGGCGAGCTTTGTTCAGATATAATTATTTTAAAAATGAAACCTAAATCTAATTTCGAATTTGAGAGAAAAATTCATGCGAGCTTTTAGTGGAATCGAATTTTTGCAAATCTATCTAATATCTACTTGTCAATAGGTCCACTAAACCAATTTTATAGACTTCTCTTAATAAAAATAAAATAAAAATCATTCATTTCCAATTTTATTATCAAGTCTAAAATTGTTTTTTAATAATGTAATGTAATAAATTCACAATAATTTTCATTTTACCAATCCCTTTCCATCATAATACACTAAGGCATTCCTTATTAAGTGTCTACCATACCGGTATTTCACTATATCTCTTCCTTTCCCCTTTTTTCATCCGATTTTGTAATGCAAAACGGCTTTCCGCTGCTGTCAGAAGGGCAGGGGCGGGGCTTGCAGGGGGGTGGTGGGCGCAGCGAGTTCCGGAGAAGGTTCCCTTGGTCACTTGACCTTCAAAATAACGGCGCAATGGCACACAACACAAAATATTGAGCAAAAGTGTGTCGCGCATTTTGCGCGCTCATGCTTCTCTTTTGTTCTCGTCTTCCCCTTTTTAAGTCCCGTTTGCCGTCCGTGGACTTTTTTTTTATATTTATTCTTTATTTATTTTGGAGGGGCTGGTTTGTCAGTTCGCCAGTCTGTCAGTTTGTCAGCCTGGCAGTTTCCCTGCTATTTTCGATGTTTTTTTTTCGTTTTCCAAAGCGACGCAATTTTTCAGCTTTTTCTTCAGGTTTCCACTTCTGTTTTGTTCCGTTTTTTGTGGACATGGAAATGTCTGGGTCAGAAAAAAAACAACCATATCTTTTGTTGTACATTCAAAGCGATTTATGTGCTAAAAAAAAATATACATATAGCAATGAGGCTGAAAAACACTCGATATTTGGGACACAAACATTCAGCGTTTTGGAAAACAGCTCGTCATATTTTCTTTGTTTGCCGGAGGCCTTTGCTCCGTGGACGATTTTTAAAAATAAATAGCTATTAAATGGTAATTAAAATGATTATTTATGTCAACGAGCAGATACCGAACTTGGGGATGGTGTCACATATCGTGATAGAAAAACATTCTTCCCTATGAATTTAAGTTTTTTTAATTTTTTATTTTTTCTGTGCCACAACTATAAAAAAGTACTTCAAGTGTCAATAAGTTAAATGGTTTCCTGTGCTCTGACAGGCACTTGAGACTTTTTTATGCACTAAAATGATCACCAAAATCATTTGGGTGGTAATAAGTTTTTAAAGCTGCCGAATAAAGATGGAAATCTTGCGAGTTCTCCAATATTTTGACGTGACGCGGTTTCATTAGTTTTCTTTTGGCCAAAAATAGGCCAGACCCGTTGACGTAATGTAAATGCCAATAAATAATATTCTCACACACGAGCTAATTTAATGATAATTAGGGGGAAATAGTATGAATAAATATATGTGAGTAGTCTGGATGCATTTGTTGTCAGATAAAAGGCGAACAAATAATGCTTTTTACGTAGGACAGACCGTTAGAATGTTGGTTGCTATTTGTCTTTCACCCGATATCCGGGGCATTGAGCTGTACATTCGGAAATAGAATTGGAAATGTTGATAAAAATCATTTTCTATTTGCCCCTAGGCTGCGAACGCGACACTTGCAATAGAAATTATTGGTGATTTCGTTGTTTTTTTTTCGGTTTTGCTATTATCAGCATTGGGCAAGCTTGTCGGCCGACATGGTCTTTATCTAGACCCCAAAGAGGTAAACAAATAGAGGAATATTATCTAAGCTTCGATTTGGTAAGCGTACGTAGACGACGCTAGTCACAGTGGTACAGGCATTATTGGCCTTAAATTGAAAATGAAATATTTTTATACCCTTGTAGAGGGTATTATAATTTCAGTCAGATGTTTGCAACGCAGTGAAGGAGACGTTTCCGACCACATAAAGTATAAATATTCTTGATCAGCACCAATAGCCGAGTCTATCTAGCCATGTCCGTCTGTCCGTCTGTCCGTTTCTATGCGAACTAGTCTCTCAGTTTTAAAGCTATCGCAATGAAACTTTCCCGAAAGTCTTCTTTCTACTGCAGGTAGTACATATGTCGGAGCGAGCCGGATCGGACCACTATATCTTAAGGCTTCCATAGGAATATGGGCACTTCCAAAATGTCGCTCGGGACATTTGCACACCTTTAAAGTTGAAAAAAAATTTTAAAACAATGGATTTTAATTTTAAATTTGGGCTTTTCTTTTTACTCTTCCCAAGCTCTATTTTTGGTAAAAATCTTGATTTTGTACCACTTTTAGTTTTTAAGATATCGGTAAAAAACTGCAGTATTCGCTCGGGACAAAAATAGAAGTGGATTTCGGGGAAGTTCATACAACACCAGAAATTAGCGAATTCTGATGGAATATTTGAATGCGATTTTTTTAGAATGTTGTTCGAACATGTCGCTGTGAAATGCTTTTGGTTTTACTCAAAAATTCTTTGCCGTTTTTTTTCGGATTTCTTTACCTTTATCTCTCAATTGCTGGATGTTTTGCTTTTAACTTAATAGTTTAGCATGTGAATGAAGCATTCAGTACAGAAAAATGTCACATATTAGCATTCCTATAGGATAAATTAACAACAGAGGACAGGTCCAAAAAATAACAAAAAAATTGCCAAAAACTGATTTTTGCGTATATTGGTGGGGTTTGTCATCAAAATAATCAAACTATACTCCAAATTTGTAGTTAAGCTCAGTATCCAACTAATTAGAAACTAATATCGGGGCAAAATCGTGTGGAAATTTGTTTTATTCAAGTTTCAAGGTTTTTGGCTTGGTGGACTTTTTTTTGGAAGTGCCCATATTCAAACAAATATAAGAAAATTTATTGTAACTTTGTAAGAAGTAGGCGTTTTGATTCTTGACTACTTAAAAACAAAATTTAAATAAATAGAAACGCTGAATCTGGAATCTCTGGAACTGCACCGAGTGAGCATTACTTTATCTGCAAGGGTATATAAGCTTCGGCTGGCCGAAGGTAGCTTCCTTTCTTGTTATATTTAATATTTACTAATTTACGATTTTCGCTATGAAATCCTAGCAATTGCTTCGGTTTCCTGCTCAAACCACTTGTAAACGCTTCGCCTATTATGATTTATATCCATATGCAGTATCGATGACGCGCTGCTCTCGCCACTTTAAGTTATTTAAGATATGTCCGATCGATCGATCGTGGAAGTCGTCGCCCGACCCAGACAACCCAATCAGTCCTCCTCCGTCCCGCTCGAGCACTATCATTCCAACTCACCGCCCCATATCGCTATTGGGGGGTAATAAAATAATTTTAGATTTTTGTCGATATTTGCCGGCTATTGGAAATGGCTTAGAGATAAGAAGGCACGGCGGAACTTAACTAAGGAGGTTTTAATGTTCATTTAAACACTTGTAAATTGGAATTTTTAGAGCACCTGCCATAAAAACCTTTACAGCCCATAAATCATTGTCCAAGTAGAGCGACGAATCGAAATATAGTTGTTGGACGATGATTCGGCCGAAAAGGCTACTGAATAATGCCTAGTTATTAACCTTTTAAATGGAGAAACGTTTTTACTCACTGAGTAATGCACAGTTATTTACCATTTATTTACCAAGGTGAAAATTTACTACGTGTTTCGGGAATTGCTTTCCCTGGAAATCTAACAAATCTCTGAAATTATTACCATCGATTAGTTATTTGCTTTGGATCAGACAGACCCCCATTTAAATCATCAGCAATCCATTAAAATCACAGTGGTGAGTGCAGCGAACTACCCTCCCATATATCATCGCTCATAATCTAATCTTAAGTCGTATCGATGCGTTCCGTTTATTATCTTCCCAGGCGATAATTTGCTTTCAGCATATTGAAAATCTTCGGGAAGTTTCGATTTATGTGGACGTTAATCATGGTCAAACAAAAAACGAGGACATGTCGAACAGCCAGTGCTTCAGTTTTTATCGGCCACATCCATGCCTATTAAATAATTAACAAGTTTAACTAAACATTTCGGCAGGCGGCGGCTTCGGTGGCTTTCCACCCGCAAGTCGGCCCCGATCGATCAGCTGAGGGGGTTTTATAATCAGTCTAATTAAATTAATGCAGCCTTGTGACTTGACTGACTCGCACTGGAAAAAGTTATTTGTTTAAAGTTTTACTGAGGCGAGCGCATTTAGTGTGTTTTGTCAGAAATTGATTGCACCTAATGCCCCCGTATTATCGTTGAATCTGGCTTTCGCTTTGTTTGCTTCCCGGTTCCTGGGCTCTATAGGGTTTCCCATCGGTTTATTTTTCGTTCCGTCGTTTTCGGTGGGCTTCCATCAGGGCGTGGACGAGTTTTTATGCTTGGCCATAAAAGCAAACGGAACCCTGCCACGGGTTGCGTGAAAGAAATGGAAAACGGAATATTCTTCATAATTTATTAGCTCACGTTCGCTTTATTACATTTGAGTCTCGTGTTCACCCGGATTTCGCATGTCGCCGTTTTACCTCTTTGTTCGTTGTCATATGGCTTGCGGGGCAATAATTTTTATATAGCATACAAAAATGGGAACTAAGTCTGTATGGAAAACAAGACGCTTACCGAAAGCCGCTGTTCGTGCGATCAATTAAAGCCCTCCCTTGGGCCGCAAATCAAACAGAGCGGCGTAAAAAAAGGAGAACACCGTTCCGAAAACTTGCAATCAACCATGGTCGAATGCTACATATATGTATGTTTGTGCAGGCACTGACACCATTTGAGGCCAAAGCCTTACAATGGTATTAAATGGTGTATTAATGGGCTTTCCCATGAATCTTTTATTTGCACATCAAGTTCCGAGGCTTAGCCCTTGCGCTATATGTCGCACATTCCGCGTCTAATTAAGACTTGGTAATCACCATTTCGGAATGAAAATGTATCGAAATAAGAGTTTTCATTAATTCATTTGAGGCATCTCACCATCGAATCGCATCGCATCATCTTCAAAGGCATTTTTGATTGGCGCTGCCCGCATATTCTCTGGTGACAAATGCAATAAACAATAGCTTTTAATTGAAGAGCCCGATGACGCAGCTGCTCGCACCCAGAATTGGTCCAGACTGGCCTTGTTTGACCCATGGATTCCCGACTTTGATATGGCCGCACTGCAAGTGTGGCTAATCGAGGAAGTTAGCTATATGGGGTATTATGCAACTTGGATAAAAAAGGTATGAGATAATAAAAAAAAATAGATTTTTATGGCATTCCTATTTATGTATTAATACCTACCGAAATGTGCAAAACAATTTTTAAATCGGACCATTTATTTAAAAGTTTTGAGAAAATAATAGAATGGAAGCATGCAAGCAGTGCAAGCAGTCTCTTTGCAGCTAGCACATCTCCATTTCTCTCACACTTTCTATAGCTGAGTAACATTTATCTTTATCTTTCCTTAATTTAGTTTTTGAAAATCAATATTAAAAACTTTAAAAGGTTCTTCCTTGACCTTTTAGATACCAGTAACTAATAACTCCTAAAGTATTTTCCAACTGTAAGAATGGTTTTTTATAGAAGCTCTTGATTGGTCCAAGAAAGTTCTGTGGTCTTTACTCAGACCATGAAAATCAATTTGAACTCCTACAAATTCATGCTGTGGTTATATATCGATTTATGGCTTCAACGCATGATCCCAGCGCTCTTTTATTTTCCCTTTCTTAGCTCGACTTTCAAGACTCAGACAGTTCTAACGAGTCTCGACCCCCTTCGATTGAAGAATGTATAAATAACCATAAAGGGGGAAAACACTGAACTAACTCAATAAGATTGCTTTGCGATCGGGTTTCAATATACATCAAGGGAAGTACACCCAGGAACACTGTGCGCTGCGCTGTTGTTGTTTATTGAATTTTTATGCAATTTTGTTAACTGGATCAATTATTTCAATTGCGTGTTCGGTAAACACAAGTTGTGACGCATTCCAGGGAGAATTCCATGAGGAGTGCGGTGAAATGGGTGGCCACACCCTCAGTTCGCGGGTGTCTAGGGCCGACTCAGCTGTCCAGACTGGGGAGGCTAAGGCACCTTTCCATGGTCAGCGATTCGTCGCTAGCCGAGCCTTTGTTTACCCCACTCCGCTCGGCAAATTGCTGTGTCTTTTGTTGCACCAATATTTGAAAAGAGTAATTGGAAAAAGAAAAAGACCAGCGGGAGAAAGTAGCTCTGGAATACCCTAGGAAGTTATTAAAACCCATGTGCGGATTTTTAAGGGGGGTAGGGGATAAATTAATAGACTTTCCATAAAAAATCATTTAATTAATTGAATATTTCAAAAAGTGTCCCCTCCAAATCGAAAGTTCCTCCCCAAAATCAAAAAGAATACCCACCCCCCAAACAACACAAATTTAGGGCGAGATCCGCCCCTGTTAAAAGCCATCGCAATTTTGGGATAATCTAATATGGTTTTAATGTTCTAAGAAAGCATAATAAAAATCAATAATTTAGATTTAAACGATTATTTCCCCAAAACCATGCTTTTATTACCAATAACTTTACGACACCGCGAGGTAATAATGCGACTACCCCTCGCATACCCTAACCATTAAAATACCATAGAGAATAGATGAAATAATATGATATAAAACAGCTGTACAACCATTTGCACTATTCGCTATATGGGACTAGAGTGAACGCATGTGGGAGTGCAATGCAATGGAGCTCCGATATTCCGATGTGGAACCATTTCCTGTTGCCAGGCAGCAGACACCAGGACGCCGAGGATTGGATTGGGTCAGCAGGGAGCGGCGATGGCTTTAATGGGTTTACTCAGCTCACCTTTCCGCAGGGCGTCGAGTGCTTTGAGGTCCTTGCCTCGAGTGGGTGTGACCCCAGTGGAGCACCAGTGCCAGTCGCTCGAAATGAAAATGTTTTCCGCTCGCTTTGCCGGAGAGGGCGCAACTTTCATTCCAACGTTTGAAGTTGCATTTTTAATTGGGGCCAAGGCTTCTCGGGCTTTTTTCCTGTAATTCCTTCTGCCATTTTCAGTTATTCAATTAGCTCTGTAAAGTGGTGTAAGCTTTCATCGGATTCGCAAAAGGTCAAGCCCACGTTCCATGGTTGATTGACTGGCGGTTGGTGTCTTTTGTAATGTTATTCGATTAATCAGCCATTAACCCTTTTTTCCATTGATTAAAGGGAATATCGAGGGCACAGGTGTAGTTCGTTTGAAAGCAAACAGGTTTCATTATTCTGAAGTGCAAGTGGAATCAAATTAAATGTGATATCTACCGTTTCATATATTTTTGGGACAAGTGGATCACTAAGTGCAGGCCCAATTAGTAAAACATTAATTACAAATGGCAAATAACTCCTAATGCGTTCGGTCCGCGTTTAACTTTATCTAGGCCCATTAGCCTTATCGACCGTTTTGTGGGTGGTCTGGGGGCTAATATAAACTAGAATATATTGACGGTCTGAAATATCGACAATTGCTGTGGTCACTGACGTGTCGCCTCAATTTCAAGACAATCAGGCGACAACTTCGATTACCAAGTATAGCCAAACAAAATACTTGAAAAATTAAATCAAATTAAAGCCAAAACTTGGAATACCCTTTCAAAACGAGCCATCTTATAGATATTTAAAGTAAAGATAGATTATCTCAACCCAAGTAATGACTCGCAAAGACTTATTTTCCAGGGTAACCTTATCTGTAAGTAATTACCCAAAGAGACATTTCTAATTTGTTTTCATTTCCAGAATTCCCTGTGGGGTGGGTATATTCAGATTCGTTTGTTTCCACGCATTTTTTTTTTGGGAACCGGTTAGAACTGCTAATCGTATACGGGTACCGTATGCAATGTTTGTCAGAGCAAAACATTTGCATGCGAAAACGAACTTCGTTTCGGTTTTAATTTGGGTTTTGCGAACTCTTAATTAGGGCACAGGCATTTTGGGACCTTATCGACAGCATTGCTTGAGTATATGAGGGTAGGTCGGGTTCCATTCTGGAAACAGCAGTAAACTTTAGGCACCAGCTGCAAAAAACTTTTATCAAATCAAACAAAACGCGTTTCAGTATTCGTCTCATGTAAACCAAAATATCAAAGCGATTAAAATTAAACAAAAAATCGTATTATAACATTTTAAACACTATCATACAATAAGAATTTAAATAAATACAATTAGTTTTCAACATAAGTTGACTATAGGCCCAACTTCTTACCCTCACTAATCCGAAATGTGCACATCTGGCATAATTTTCCATATATAACAGCCGTCCTTGTCTTATTCAAAAACTACATTCTTGGGTGATATAATATAATCTATTACAAAATACGATATATGAGTAGTTAAAAGGGAAGTCTGCTCCGCTAATGGGGGGAAACCCGGGGCAAAATAACAAATGGATACACACAAACACTTCCCATTGCCCGGCAATATTTTATATGGGAATATAGAAGTCGGGCCATATGCAAGGCGATAAGAACAATGACGACGACACAAAGGCCAATAGCCGCTGATATTCGAGAATATAAGTACATATGTAGTATCGAGAGCGAGGGAGCCGAGGTGCCGACTTTCCCTTTTTGTTTACCAGTTCTGTTTGTGTACGATTTGCAGCGCTACGATAAACCCGGGACAAGATCATGTGGCTGGGCACAGCTTATCTCGGAGATACTCCGCCAATGGCAAATGTTACAAATTTATTTATTTATGCGAAATATTTATACTTCTCTGTACAGGCATTGCAGCGCAAGCTTCGCCAGGCGGAAAACAAGAATGCAAAAGATGAGGAGGAGGTGGAGATGGAGGAGAAGGAGGTGGAGCAGGTGGAGGTTGAGATGGAGGTGGACGAGAAGAGTGGGCAGCCGGAAAAGAACGTGCTGGAACTCACGCCCCCAGCCACGCCCCCTACTCCAATGCCGGCGACCTCGCCTTCGAGCACCACTGGGAGCTGCGTGGATTTCCAATCGGTGGGTAAACAACAAGCGATCTTCATACGATCAGAAAATATCTACGGGTTCCAGTTTGACCCATATTCAAAAATTGTATGCCCTTAAATTTTATTTGGATCTGTTTAAATACTTACTTTAATAAATAATGAATAAGTAAACAAGAAGCGATCTTCATATGCTCAGAAAATATCTACGGGTTCTAATTTGACCCAAAAACTGTATTTCCTTAAATATTTTTGGATCTGTTTATTATTTTGATTACTTACTTTAATAAATAAGTAAACTAGAAGCGATTTTCATACGATCAGAAAATATTTACGGGTTCTAATTTGACCCATATAAAAAACTGTATTCCCTTAAATTTTATTTCGATATGTTTATTATTTTGAATACTTACTTTAATAAGCTTATTATTATAGATTCATACAAAAAAAAAAATACTTTCAGTTAGAGAATTATTTTTACTTGTACCTGAAATAACTGACTTATCTTAGTTTATGGTTGCTTTTAAGTTAAAAGTCAAGAATTTACTACTTCAGCTATAAGGAGAATTATTGAAAACACCTAACATTATATAAGAACAATATACAAAACTATTAAGAACTATTTATTGCTGGAAAGAACTATTAGCGATAAAATTATTTAAAACAAGAAAGGAAGCTAGCTTCGGCCAGCCGAAGCTTATATACCCTTGCAGATCATTCCTATTAATTAACAAATCGCAAAAATGTTCAATTTTCTAATATTTCTCATTAATTTTCCTATTACTTTTCCATTAATTTTCCGATCGTTCCTATGGCAGCTATATGATATAGTAGTCCGATTTTTTAAATAATTAATTCGAAATTCAGAAATATTTAAAAAATAACATCCCCAAAAGTAGGAGGTAATATTTCATAAAACACCGAAGCTAGAATTTTTTAAAGTTTTTTTTTCCGATTGTTCCTATGGGAGCTATAAGATATAGTTGTCCGATCCGGTCGGCTCCGACATATATACTACCTGCAATAGAAAGAAGACTTTTGCGAAAGTTTTGTCCCGATAGCTCAAAAACTGAGAGACTAGTTTGCGTAGAAACAGACAGACGGACAGACGGACGGACAGACGGACATAGCTAGATCGACTCGTCTTGTGATGATCAAGAATATATATACTTTATGTGGTCGGAAACGTCTCCTTCACTGCGTTGCAAACTTCTGACTGAAATCATAATACCCTCTGCAAGGGTATAAAAATATTAAAAACACCCATTAAGAACTCCTTGAAAAGCCTAATACTAATTTAAATTTACGCTCCATTCCAGAAATCTCGTCGGGAGCTGGAGCGAAATCGTGAGTTTGTTGGCGCCCTGTTGGCGGAATACGAGCGCACGGAGAAGTTGTGGAATCCTCGCCACCCGGACTACAAGTACAATGCCAAGCGGAGTGTCTACGCGGAACTGGCTGATCCTCTGGAGGCCATCTGCCACCAGCGGCTGACCGGAGCCGAGATCTTTGCCGTGTTGAAGGAGTTAAGGGGCAGATACCGCCGCGAGCTGAGTAAACTGAAAGCCCTTGGTGGAAAGTTCAAGTCGCGTTTGTGGTACTTTGATAGGATGCACTTTCTCAAGAACGTTATCGAAAACAAACGAGCTGAGCGGGAAGCCAAGGTAAGTGATCACAAAGATATCTGATAAAATTAAAATTAATATTACATACATCCTTTAAGATCTCCAATGAGAGCACCGAGAGCGAAAAGTCCTGCGAAACGGAAGCAGAGTGCAAGTTAACATTGTATCATGAGGTACTTCGCTTCATTCTGGACTGCTTCAAGCGACTGGAGTGCCTGTGGAATCCGCAGCACTGCGACTACTCCAGCTGCTGCAAGAAGGAGCTCTTCCGGGACATCTCCGCCCAGCTGCGGGAGGAACTCAACTACGAGCTGAGCGGCGAGGAGTGTTTGAAGGAGATCCAGAAGCTGAGGACGCGATACCGCAAGGAGCTGCGCATGGTGATTAAGCACAAGGGTCTGTACCTACCCAAATTGTGGTGTTACGATGAAATGGAATTTCTGCAGCCCATTCTGCAGGAGCAAATCTTCACTAAGATCAGCAAGGTAGTGGGTTATACCTTACCATTGTTCATGATATTAATTTCATTTATTTTATATTCCAGAAAGTTGGAGTGGTGGGGACCAGTCAGAAGACCAAGTTCGTTGATGCCAGCTCTTTTAAGTTCGACACTTCTGAAGATCAACTGCAGTTCGTAGAGATCTACCGCAACTACTCGGCTCTGTGGGATGTGGACCATCCCGATTTTCGATCGAATGCTTATCGTGGTCAGGCCTTGAATCAAATGTTGGATGAGATAAACACCACTTTCCGCACATTCTACACCGCTGAGCAGTTGGAGAAGACCTTGTTTGATCTGCGTAAAGATTTCTCGGCGCAGAAACGAAAGATTCTCACCGAGTCCGGGGACTCCAGCAGTATTCCCTTGCTGCACGCCAAGCTGTCCGAGTTCCTGGACCAAAACCTCGGTCCTTTTCGTTGCGATCTTTGCTCGGAGCTCGTCAAGACCTGTGATCAGTACAAGATGCACCGATCGGCACACGATGGAACCCAGCCCTTTATCTGCACGCTGTGCGGAAAGGGCTTCCAGATGCCCTGCAACCTGACGGTGCATATCAGACGGCATCGGAGGGATTTCCCTTATGCCTGCGAGCAGTGCGACAAGCGATTCGCCACATCCACCGAGGTGGCCATCCATTTGCGCACGCACACTGGAGAGCGGCCCTACATCTGCGATCTGTGCGGCAAATCCTTCAAGACGTGGTCCTTCTTCGATATTCACCGGCGACGGCATCTCAACCAGTCGACATTCCACTGCCCGATCTGTGCGAAGGGATTCTACGAGAAGAATCGCTTCACCGATCACATGAACTCCCACTGGGCGATCCGCAAGCACCTGTGCACGGTGTGCGGCAAGACCTTCACCACCTACGGCAACCTCAAGAAGCACGCGGAGCTGCATCTGGCGGTCAAGAAGTACAAGTGCAGCCCGTGCGGCAAGCGATTCGCCCAATTCGCCAGTCTGCGATGGCACAAGAAGAGGGAGCACAGCACCGAGGGGCAAACGGACGACAAGTAGAACCTCCAGGCACTCAAAACTCTCCTCAGCACTTTACAATATTTACAGGGCAATCGTAAAGAGTTAGATGTGTGCCCGAGTACTTAAAGAAATTGCCGTCTGAAAGGTAGAACGTACCTATCATATCGTTAATCTAGCACTAAGTAATGTATTTATTTGCTATTTAAGAATGTCTGATAAATACCTCTCAAGTTCTGTAAGCGTTATCGTCGTAGTCAAACGATTAGCTAGCCATTTGTTGAATGCCTGTAACTGGTTTACGAGCCGGATCCAAAAGTCATTGAAAGTGAAACCAAAAATGTATACATTTGTGTATTAAATTAACTTCTACATATACAAATGATGCACTTAGTTGTAAGGTTTAGTTCGGTCTTATCGCCTAGAAGAGAAAATTTTAGAATGTCAAAAGAGCTGTAACTGGTTTCAACCAGTCGGAATAAGTATTTTCCATAATAAACTGGAATGAACGTATGAATAACTCTTTGCCGAAGTCGTAAATCTTCCGCTCGAATCGATATTGATTTAGATACCGCCCCTTTGGCTCATTTGCCGAACGTTTATTGACTCCAATTGAGCGGCTCCAGTCGGCGTCGCCGCGATGAAAGTGCAAGTGACAAATGAGACGGAGGAATCTCCCAGTGACCAGAGTTATTTCATTTTTATCGGCCCAATGCACACACTCAATTAGATTTCATTAAATTGTTGCAACAGAGCAAATTACGAGAACGGCGGAAAATGAAAATTAATTGCACCCAATGACTTGTGTGCGAAACAAACAAAAAGTCTAGAGCGATATGCAGTGAACTGTAACGGAGTAATTACCCGAGGACCGGGGCCACAAACAAAATCGAAACCCAATCAACTGTCGCAGGGGGCGTCGGAGAGGTAAACAGAGATTAATAGGCTTTGGCGTCGAAGTGAGATTTATATGGTTCAAATTTACTGCCGTGAGCACTCGGTTGTGGCAAATAATTAGAAATTATCTTGGATCCCTCGGCGCGCGCTTTGCCTTGGGCAGGTCCTTTAGCTCCATTTGGCTCTTGGGGCGGATGAGCATCTGGACGGACTTCAGGGATCGAAAGCTGTACCATGGCTCCCAGTAGATGCTCTGCGGATTGTCCACCTCGCCCTTGAAGTATTTGCCATTTAAATTGCTGTAAATTTAAATATGATTACAAATTATAATTATAAATTTAAAGTACTTAATATCATTAAAATATAATTAATGTTATAAGTTATTTTGAAATTTTTAAATCAATTTAAATAAAGTTCTTACAATCCTAGTCAATAGAAAATTAAGTGATTGTCTAAAAAAATGTCTAAATTGTTCTCTACAAATATTTGGGATTTTTTTAACTTTGACATTTCTACTGTGCTTTTAAGCATAGAGGTACTATCACTATCACATTAAATTGCTGACTAAAGAACCCATTTAATATCAAATGTCAAAGAATTATTCGTGGCCTAGCCTTATCATTGTTGGCCGATCAGTGAAAAAGTTTCAGTCTGATATGATTAATCAGTGACCGATCTGGGATTTTGTTGTGGGGGATGATATCAGAACAATTTTTTTATTGCATACTTTTTGAATACCAAAATTCATTTAATTTTTCTAAGCATAAATTAGTATAATTACTTCGTTGTAAAAATTATTCAAGTTAATTTTTATTAACTTCAATAACATGTGTATAAAACAAAAATAAAAGGGGTTTCTAAAGCAAATCCTTACCTTCGGGAACAGAAGTCGTACCACCATGCTCCTTGATGATGCTTCGCACAGTTCATGTGCGTGAAGGCGTCGTTGTCCCGGTCGAAGGTCGAGAACTTCATCTTGTCGTGGGTGCGCAACGCATCGCTGGCGTTTCCCTGATAGTGACCCAGTAGCTTCAGTTCGTAGCCTTCCTCCGCACTGCCGATAAGAAAGTCGTCGTAGTGGGCATAGCTCATCTCGCCGCCGAATCTCCTGATGCTGATATACAGCTCGTGCGGCTGCGAACTGGTCAGGCGGTGTAGCTTCTCCAATCCGATGAAGAACTCGCCGTTCAGTTTGCCAAATCCCTTGCTGTAGGCATCCCAATTTCGGTAGAAATTCACGGATCCGTCCAATCGTCTCTGGATGGAAGTCCAGCCGGGTCCGGCAGCAGTTTGTCCTTCGCAGGCTACCAGAAAGGGCAGGAATTCGGGCAGGTGGATCAAGTGGATTCCGGGTGAACGGCCATAGGGCACACAGGTCGTGGTGGCCGCCTCCCAATCCGCCAGCAGATCGTCCTTCTTCTCCCGGAACTTCCTCTCGAAATACACAACCTTTCCTTTGAGATGATCAATTAGGAGGGCACTAGATTCATTCAGCTTTCTCAGCTCGGTCAGCACATGCTGTTTTCTCTTCATTCGCGTTTCGTATACCTTGATTTTTTGCTCCAGTTCCTTGATCCTCTCATCTTTATCTTTGATGGCAATCGAAAATGAAGAGTTTTGGGCACTGCACACCTGGGTAAGGTTTTCAAATTTCTTCAACAGCTCACCGTCTGTTTGGTCCTTGGTTTGCAACATGTTAATCTCATTCTCCTTATCCTTGATGGTGGCGGCACTTTCCGCTATCCTTCCCATATAAACATCCAAAAGATCGTCCAAGTCACCCTTACTAATTCGAATCGTTTTGTGCTGATCGATGTGAACTTCCGCTAGTTTTTCCGGTGGAGGAGCTGCTGTCACATTAGCGATTAGCGTAGCATTAGTGGGTAATACCTCCTTTGAGGGGGCTTTGGTGGTCTTTGCTTTCGAACTGACTTGAAGGGAATTGGCTGAAGTCAGCATAATGATCAGAATTATGAAAATATTGACCATTCCGGCTGTATTTTTTGAACCGTGCTCTCGGAATTCTAAATTCAACTGAAATCGCAAGCGAAATGCATTTCCCTAAGCTGAGCGCAAATCAGGAAATAATAGCTAATGCTAAGCCAACTGCAGATAAGAAAATCTGAGCTTGGAGGCTGCTCTTGCTCTTGAACTTGAAGCAGCATACTTTTCAAGCGGACTCAGGAATTCAGGATTTTCCTATGGTATTACATTTAAAGATTAAATTTTAAATTTAAGCTATTTTTAAAAATAGATTTTCAAAAAATTTCATATTTATTTTAAACTTAAAATGATTTTAGACTAGTTATTTAGTGCAATGTCCATTTTAATAAAAAAAATTTTTATTTTTAAAAATTATGCACAGACTTAAAACTTTCATTTTAATTTTAACTTAAAAATAACGAATATAAATGGTTCCAATTCGAATTACGCGCTCTTTTTCCCAGCAAGTTGGCAGTCCGACAACGCCACTTTTTGAGTTGGCAACGCCTTCCGTTTTCAACCAGACATTCAAGTATACAGAATTTTTCTAAAAGAAAGTTGATTGTGAATCGAGCTCTCAAACGAATAGGAACGGTCTTAAAAAGAAGGGAGTTTGGACAGTAAAATAAAGTGAAATAATTACTATTGTGAAGTATAAACTAATAATAAATACCAGCCAAGCATCCGTGAATAGCTGTACAAGAAAAGCGCGACTTAAAGCTAGATATTTTGGGATCTACTCATTGAGAAGATAAGATCTACGTCAGCAAATCAAAGTGAAAAACCTTAATTAACTATTACAATCTGAGGAAAAGCGTACTCTCAAGTGCTAAAATGTGTAATTTCCGGGAATTTCAAGATATTTCCACAATTTTCAACATGAAAAAGGCGTCTGGAGTCAGAACAAAGAAAGCCATCCAAAGTGGGGCTCCACGGGGCAAGAAAAAACTTGAAGCGCAGCTGCAGCAACTTTTCTCTACATGTACATCCATCTATTTGTGCATCGGGTGTACAAAGAAAACGAGTCTTTGTTCTGCCCACAAATCGATGGCCATGCAACAACTACAACCACATGAAGGGTGTGTATTTTTAGGCTCCCTTTTCCCCGTTTTCTTATCTTTTGTTTGTCGTTTGCCTGCTTGTTCGTCGTTCCGTGTGTGTTCAATATGTAAACAATTATCTATGGTTTTTTTTCCTTTCAGATAAGTTGAATGGTCTTTTTGAGCCAGACTTGCCTGTGAAAACCGGAAAATGGAAATACTTAAGAGGTTCGTACTGCATGACCTGAAATTAGGTCATCATCCTTAGTTCACTTAAAGAAATCGGAAGACTTGTAAAATATATATATTTTTATTTTAATTAATAAAGAATATTTATTTTTGGATGATCTTTCATTATCCAAAAACTAGGCTATAATAAATTAGTAATTTACATGCCCTTTAAAAAAACAAAATCAAACAATAATAAAAATTTTAAATATAAAAAAAAAATTCCCCTATAAATAATGAAATTTGGTTTAATTATAACTTTTTAAATAATATTATCATTTACCTAAAATCCTGTGTAAAAACATTTTGGCACGAATTAAATAGAAAATGTTTACTTTTATAAAGTAAAACTTAAATGGTCATTAAAAACATAATTAACAAAATCTTGGTACATTAAAATTTATTTCAATTTTAAAAGTTTCTATGTTGTATTAAAACAATATATTTATTTTAAAGTGTGATATATTTTAAAATGCCCATTATATTTATACACTTTTTATTTATTCACAGTAAACCAAATTTAAAATCATATCTACCCTTTCAGTTTAAATACTTCGAGTCAAGCCAAACACACCCGAATGATATTGGCCGATAAGAACCGATGATGACTGTACGAAGGAAGATGAGTGACCTGGGCCGGCAGGATTTGGTATTTATGACTACTATTCTACTTGCTACCAAGCATCCATCGCTAACGACCCACCAAAGCCACAAATCAACCACAACATATACTAAGTATATCCCGGGCAGTGTAAAAGCGTATCATGCTACCAACCATATTGTCTATATCCTGTGTGCATATATCATTAGATCCTAAGTGTCTTTGCAGGTCCACCATCCAACCAAACCAAACCAAACTACAACAATCAGCGCATCGCCACTAATCTTTCTGTTCTCTATATATGCCATATATATATCCTATGACCAAATAAACCCCAACACTGCTTATTACTCCATGACTTATGACCCTTTCGCCTTGCAGTTTCCAAGTACCAAACCGCCTACGCCTGCGAAGGTAAGAAACTGACCATCGAGTGCGATCCCGGCGATGTGATCAACCTGATACGGGCCAACTATGGACGCTTCTCCATCACCATCTGCAATGACCATGGGAATGTCGAGTGGAGTGTCAACTGCATGTTTCCCAAGTCACTCAGCGTACTAAACACAAGGTAAGATTTAAGAAAAGACACTATATTCCATTAAAATAGTAAACTATCTTTTATTAAAAGAAAAGAAATCAAGTTTTAAATAACTCATTAAATATTAAATTATATTATATTATTAATTATATTACATTAAAACTGAATCCTAGTTATGTAAACAGCTCGTAAAAAATTACTATACAATTTAAGGTTCCAAAAATATTAAATATATTCAATATAATAATATTATAATCAGAGAAAAATTTATAAAAGTTATCAGAAGTATTAATACTTAGATTCCTTTAGTCATTGAGAAATGATTTTTTATATTTTTATTAAAATTCAAATCCTTTCGGTATCTTTAATGGTATCGTAAAATGGAATCCGAATGATTTTTTGAATGATCTGTATTTTAGTCCTATATCCTCCAATCAATCTCTTTTATCTTGCAGATGTGCCCACAAGCAGAGCTGCGGTGTCCTGGCAGCCACGAGCATGTTCGGGGATCCCTGCCCAGGGACCCACAAATATCTGGAGGCGCATTACCAGTGCATTAGTGCTGCCCAAACGTCGACGACGACCAACAGGCCCAGTCCGCCGCCGTGGGTCCTCAGCAATGGTCCGCCAATCTTTGGCAACGGCAGTGGCCTAATCCATCCGCCTGGAGGCGGAGGAGGACCGCCGCCACCGCCGCGACTGCCCACGCTGCCCGGAGTGGTGGGAATTAGCGGGAATCCTGGACTGTTCAATGTGCCGCCCCAACACACGGCCGTCACCCACTCGACGCCTTCGAGCAGCACGACATCAGTGGGCGGCGGACGTCTGAAGGGCGTGGCCAGCTCCACGACGACCACCAAGCATCCGGCTGGTCGTCACGATGGACTGCCTCCGCCGCCGCAACTGCACCACCATCACAACCACCACGGCGAAGAGACCGCCGCACCCACCAAGCCGAGCAGTAAGCTTCCAGCAGTCGGCAATGCCACTGCTCCCTCCAATACCCGCATCCTGACGGGAGTGGGAGGATCCGGGACCGATGATGGAACCCTCTTGACCACCAAGAGCTCCCCAACCGACCGCCCGGCACTGCGGCCAGTGGAGCCGCCGTCTCTGGGAACGGCAGTGTGGTCCGCACCATCAACAATATTAATTTAAATGCGGCCGGAATGTCCGGCGGCGATGATGAGTCCAAGTTGTTCTGCGGCCCCACCCACGCGCGGAATCTCTTCTGGAACATGACCCGTGTGGGCGATGTGAATGTCCAGCCCTGTCCGGGCGGAGCAGCCGGCATAGCCAAGTGGCGTTGCGTGCTGATGAAGCGGATGCCCGACTCCGTTTACGATGAGTACGATGATGATCCCAGCTCCACAACCCCTTCGCCCGGCGGCGGAGACTGCCTGCACAACAGCAGCAGCTGCGAGCCGCCGGTGAGCATGGCCTACAAGGTGAACCAGCGATTGCGCAATTTTGAGCCTACCTGGCATCCCATGACTCCGGATCTGACGCAGTGCCGCAGCCTCTGGCTGAACAATCTGGAAATGCGGGTCAATCAGCGCGACTCCTCACTGATCTCCATTGCCAACGATATGTCCGAGGTCACCAGTAGCAAGACGCTCTACGGTGGCGACATGTTGGTCACCACCAAGATTATCCAAACGGTGTCCGAGAAGATGCTGCACGACAAGGAGACCTTCCCGGATCAGCGGCAGCGCGAGGCCATGATCATGGAGCTCTTGCATTGCGTGGTCAAAACGGGCTCCAATCTGCTGGACGAGTCGCAGCTGTCGTCGTGGTTGGATCTCAATCCAGAGGATCAAATGCGCGTGGCCACATCTCTGCTAACTGGCCTGGAGTACAATGCCTTCTTGCTGGCGGACACGATTATCAGGGAGCGCAGTGTGGTGCAGAAGGTCAAGAATATATGTGAGTGTTATATCTTTAAAGGCTTTACTAAGGGTTCGGAAAATAACACAAACTGTAAAAAACTTGTGTTATTAACATGTTAAATGTCAAAGTGTTAGGTTAAAAAAAGTTATTAACTTGTGTGTAAAAAATTGTATCCTACATATGTTAGAAACGTTAATAACACACACATGTCATTTGTGTTATTTACACAAACACAAGTGAGCTGTGTGTGTTAACCATTATTTTTCACATTCTAAGACTTTTGTATTTGACACACATGTCAATAATTTTGTTCACACTGTAAAATACAATTTTTCATGTTTTTAACATGAGTGTTAATATCAGAGCCCTGGTTTTACCCCTCGGTACTCATAAGCCTTTATTTTTTTCTTAGTACTCTCCGTTCGAGTGCTGGAAACCAAGACCATCCAGTCCAGCGTTGTCTTCCCCGACTCGGATCAGTGGCCCCTGAGTTCCGACCGCATTGAGCTGCCCAGAGCTGCTCTGATCGACAATAGTGAGGGCGGTCTGGTGCGCATCGTCTTCGCCGCCTTCGATCGTCTGGAGTCCATCCTGAAACCCAGCTACGATCACTTCGATCTGAAGAGTTCTCGCAGCTACGGTAAGTATGAGAGAATTGCATAAGAATAGAATAAACTAAATCGCATCTTAGTTCGCAATACAGCCATCCTGAGCAACGACAGCGATGCAGGTGCAGGAGAGATGCAGCAGCGGCTCCGCATCCTGAACAGCAAGGTGATCTCCGCCAGCTTGGGCAAGGGGCGGCACATACAGCTCTCCCAGCCCATAACCCTGACCCTGAAGCATCTGAAGACCGAGAATGTGACGAATCCCACCTGCGTGTTCTGGAATTATATTGACCAGTAAGAGTTTTCAGCATTTCTTAGGAGGATGCATACTAAAATAAACTTTCTTTGCAGTGCCTGGTCTGCCAACGGCTGCAGCTTGGAGTCCACGAATCGCACGCACAGCGTCTGCAGCTGCAACCACCTGACCAACTTTGCCATACTCATGGACGTGGTGGACGAGCATCAGCACTCGCTGTTCACCATGTTCGATGGCAACATGCGAGTCTTTATCTACATCAGCATCGCCATCTGTGTGGTGTTCATTGTGATCGCCCTGCTGACGCTGAAGCTCTTCAACGGGGTCTTTGTGAAGGTAAGAAACGGCTCCAATCCGCTGCCGCACCAGCGGGCGGGCAGCAGGCGCCAGCAGAACAATATACGCGACCAGACCCACGAGTCCTTGACCCTGACCACGCCCACCAGTCAGACCAATGTGTCGGCGCCCAGTCATGGGAACACGAACTTTATCCAACACAATTCCATCCGCAACTCCCATCGCAACAATCTGAACTACAATGTCCAGCAGCAGCAGCAACAGCAACAACAGCAGCAACAAGTTGTGGCAGCGGCTGCTGCTGCTGTGGTGCTGTCCAATCAGCCGCAACGCAATATGCAGCATGCCATGAACAACCTGAATCTGAATCTGCATCAGCATGGCCAGCAGACGGCGGCTGCTGCAGCTGCTGCTGCCTCGATTGCCGCTGCACTGCAGCAACATGCCGTACAGGCCAGCAACGCCAGCAACAACCTCAACATTAGCCACAACTATTTGCAGCAGCAACATGCCCAGCAGCAGCAGCATGGCCAGCAGCAGCAGCAACATCCGCACCGCAATCACAATCTAAATGTGGACGGTCCTGGATTGGACAACACGAACAACATCATCATGCAGGCCAACATGGATGACTTACAATATAAGTGGTGGTGGTGGTGAAAACAAAAAAAAAATCAGATAAACAAACACAAATTTTAGGCTAGGCTAGGATCTTTAGACCTATGTATTGATGATCGAGAGACACATGTGATATAATGCTTAAGTAACTCAAATTGTTAATGGAATTCTCTCTGATAGGACTCAAAGATAAGACTCAAAAGCTGTGCTGTAAGGCGATGATCTAATCAAATTCATCGCATCTCAGTGGCAGCTTAAACTCTGAAGACTCTCCATTTATATTAATGTATCGTAGTAATTTGTCATAGCTTAAGTTTAGCGCACTTTTCCCAAACCAATACGTGTTTTTCTCCGTGTGAAAAACAAGACTCACTTTTCCGTTTATTTAGAAATCATCTGGCATGTTTTACTTAATTTAATCATTTTTGAGATATCCTAACCCCTTTATGTGCATTCATTGTTTAACAAATTTAACCTAGACATCGTACAATTTAATACCTAAAAACATTTCTTATTTTCTTTTGTATTTAATTAATTAATAAAATATACAAATGTTGCTAATTTTGTCCTGTAAATATTGCATTTTGTGTTTGTTCATTTCATTTGTATACCTATTTCCTATATGTTGTGCTTGTTTCGTGTCTTGTTCATTGTTTTACTTAATGCGTATAATATTTTTATTAATCGTATTACTCTTAGTCTTTGGATTTTCACCACCACCCACCAAAATTATTGTAAATCAAATCCTAAATTAAGTTTGACTATCGACCCATTTCTCAAAGTGGGGTCGTTACCCTTTATCTATTTCCTTTGAAATAAGATTGAATCTTGAACGTCCTTCTGCTGGTTCTGCCCTTAAAGAAAATTCACCTACCTCTACAATTTATTTAAACTTTCCCCTCTATCTTCTCTATTCAACTTTCCAATCCAGTCCGCCCGCACCTCGATCTATACCAGCATTTACCTTTGCCTGCTGGCCATCGAGCTGCTCTTTCTACTGGGCATTGAACAGACCGAAACAAGCATTTTCTGCGGCTTCATAACCATTTTCCTCCACTGTGCCATCCTATCTGGCACTGCCTGGTTCTGCTATGAAGGTAAGATGGATCCATTCCGTATGGACTTTTCAGCTCTAACCTATCGCATCTGCAGCCTTCCATTCGTACTCCACCCTTACCTCGGATGAGCTCCTGCTGGAGGTGGATCAGACGCCCAAGGTGAACTGCTATTACCTCTTGTCCTACGGATTGTCCTTGAGCGTGGTGGCCATCTCGTTGGTCATCGATCCCAGCACCTACACACAGAACGATTACTGCGTGCTGATGGAGGCGAATGCCCTGTTTTATGCCAGCTTTGTGGTACCGGTGCTCATCTTCTTTGTGGTAAGATTTGAAGAACTTCAACGAAGAGAACGTGAACTAGGTATATACTATAAATTCCATATATATTTATTATATATTTTGCAGGCTGCCATTGGCTATACGTTCCTTTCTTGGATCATCATGTGCCGCAAGAGTCGCACTGGTCTGAAGACCAAAGAGCATACTCGCCTGGCCAGCGTGCGGTAAGAATTTATTAAGAATTCATACATAACCCACAGGCTCATCTGAAATCTATCTTTACCCTCCAGTTTCGACATCCGCTGCTCCTTTGTGTTCCTCCTGCTGCTCAGCGCCGTTTGGTGCTCCGCCTATTTCTACTTGCGAGGTGCCAAAATGGACGAGGACTCGTCTGATGTATATGGCTATAGTTTCATTTGCTTCAACACTCTGCTGGGACTCTATATCTTCGTGTTCCACTGCATCCAGAACGAGAAGATCCGGCGGGAGTATCGCAAGTATGTGAGACAGCACGCCTGGTTGCCCAAATGCCTGCGCTGCTCCAAAACCTCCATTTCCTCGGGCATTGTGGCAGGTAATGGACCCACTGCAGGAACCCTCTGCAGCGTATCCACCTCCAAGAAACCTAAGCTGCCATTGGGAGTTAGCGAGGAGGTGCACGATGATCCCCAGCAGCAACAGCAGGGGGGAATCCCTGTCACAGAAGATGCCATAATGGGAGCCAGCTCGGATTGTGAACTAAATGAAGCCCAGCAGAGGAGGACTCTGAAGAGCGGACTGATGTCGGGCACCCTGCAGGCGCCACCGCAGACACTTGGCGGCCATGTGGTGCTCGAAAGGGGAAGCACCCTGCGATCCACCGGCCACGCTTCACCCACCAGTTCTGCTGGATCCACGCACCTGATCTTCGCCCACAAGCAACAACAGCAGCAGCAGCAACAAGGACCTTTGGGCGAGTCGTACTACCACCAGCCGGACTACTACAGCTGGAAGCAGCCACCGACCGGAGGAGCCGGAGGATTGAAGACCCCGCGGGAGTACTACAATAATGCCGGGGCAGCTGCCTCCTCGCCGCAGCAGGCGCACGAGGTATTTTACTGGACACAGAAGCCGAACAGCGGGCAGCATGGCAAGAAGAAGAGGGGCGCCGGCGGGGTTCCCGCCTCGCCGAGTGGATCCCTGCACAGCCGCACGGCCGCCGCCTCCCAGGTGCTCTTCTATCCCTCGTACAAGAAGACCAAGCCCGGCCAGGCGGGCGGCTATCCGCAGTACGCGGAGGCGTTGGATCCACCACAGGCCCCAGGCAATGCGGCTGCCTACTACCAGCAGCAGCAGCAGTTGCGTCGTCAGCAGCAACATCTCCAGCAGCAGCAGCAGCAACTCTCCTCGGATGAGGAGCAGGCCGAGCAACACGCTCACCTGTTGCACCTGCAACGACGTGCTGGTGGCCAGCAGCAGCTCCCCGCTCCACCGCCGCACATGGCGCAGTACCAGCAGGAGTTCATGCAGCGCCAGTATAGAAATAAGCATTCCAACTGTGATCTTGGCATGGGCGATGCCTACTACAACCAGGGCAGCGTGGGCGGCGCGGACGGGGGGCCTGTGTACGAGGAGATCCTGAGCAACCGCAACTCGGATGCGCAGCACTACGAGGTGGGTGACTTCGATGTGGACGAGGTGTACAACAACAGCGTTGGCACCGGCGTCTTCAACAACATGCGAGCGCAGGTGGCCGCCGGCGGGAGTCGGTATGGCGGCGGTAGCCTCAGCGGCGGCAGCGTCTCGTCCAGGAGCCAACAGCAGCAGCTCCAGAAGCAGCAGCAGCAACAACAGTCGCTGGCCCAGCAAAGATCGGCTCGACGCTGCACGGCAGATGATGACGACGACGACGACGAGGACGAGGAGGAGGATGAGGAGGCAACGGCCGCGGAGCAATTGCACGACAGCGTCTGTGATGAGGATGAGGACGACGAGAGCGACTTGGAGGACGATGCTCATGGATTGCCACCCCAGAGCGATGAGCGGATGCGTCGCCTGATGGCAATGCAGGACGAGGACTTTAAGCGGCGGTTTCAGTAAGTACTTATGGTCTAGAAAGGATTGCAGTATCCGTATAATCAGGGTTCGGAACATAGCACACACTGTTAAAAGCTTTTGTTATTAACATGTTAAATGTTAAGGTCAAAAAAAGTTATTGACTTGTGTGTAAGAAATTGTATCCTACATATGTTAGAAACATAAATAACACACACATGTCATTTGTGTTATTTACACGACGTGTTATTAACACGACGTGTTTTTTACGCAGCGTGCCTTTAACACAATGAGTTTTTGACATTAAAGTGTCAGAATTGTAAGTTGAACTGAAAAATGCACGGTTTTTTAGAGTGTAAGAATTCATATATGCTTTAAAATGGTTACAACTAACAAAAAAGAGCCCATATTGGTTTTTCATTTTCCCTTCGACTCGTAATGTCAGTGAAATGTAATTTTCATTTGTGTTGAAAACAGAGTGCGTAAAAAACACGTCGTGTTAAAAACACGTAGTGTAAAAAACTCAAGTGAGCTGTGTGTTAACAATTATTTATCACATTTTAAAACTTTTGTATTTGAACCCTGCTTATAATATACATATTCTGTATTAACGTTCTAATTCATCCCTCCTTTCAGACGTCAGCTGCGCAAACATGGAGCGCCCATTGACTACGGGGCCTTGCCGCCGGGAACGGCGCCAGGAGCAGGTCCGCACCCCGAGCACAACGGTGCGGTTTTTGGGGTTAGCGGCGGCGTTGGTGAGGGCTCCATGCGTGGCGCATTCCGGCAACAGCAGCAGCAGCAGCAAGCACTGAATGCCAAGTCGCCAGCCGGTCGTCTTGCGGTGAACGAGCTGTTCGGCAACGCCGGACCACCGCTGCCGCCGGCCAATCAGACGCCCGCGCAGAAGCGTCAGCAGCTACAGAAACTGTCACCACAGTCCACCACATCATCGTCGTCGCATACATCACACAGCAACCCCAATCCGCATCCCCACCAGCTTAACCATCCGCATCCCCATCAGCATCCCCCGCACCACCAGCAGCGCCACCTGTCGGCCATGCTCGATGAGAACAACACGGTGCGGTGCTATCTGGAACCACTGGCCAAGTGAGCCGATGGATCCAACTCCCCCGGAACAGTCTTAGGCAAAAATTGTAGCTTAGGATCTCTAGCTATACCTAGTATTAGTCGTTAGTCGAAATATGGAGCATTGTGTGAAACAACATGCTGTCATGCTATACGTGCAGTGATTCGAGAATCCCAAAACTTTATGAATGTATATGAAATAACTCAAACCTAGACCATAGGCACATCCAGCCCACGCACGAGGGAGGATCCAAATAAGGAGCCGTGCAAGCTTAACCAAATTACGAGGGATGTGGGATTGGGATATTGGGCCCTTCGACTTGCATGCATTTTATACCAACTTGGAAATCGATATTAAATATAAATGTATGTACCATATATGTATAATGTATTGTAATACATGTCACCACATGCCATTTTTAAATACTTAAAAAAAAATAATTTAAACAACCAGAAAATCAAGTATATATATATGGATGTATATGTATAAGATTTGAGAACTGTATGTACATGATATATAGAATGCAGGCGAATTATGTTTTATGTATTTTGTAAGGAATCAATTGTTTTTGATTTTCGCTGATTATGCTCGTAAGATATGTATACACAAAGACTTAAGATTTGTTTCGTGTTTCATAAACCAAAAAGAAAACCCACGTTTCGAGATTTTGTAATTTTTTGCTATCCAACTGCCGTTTTGAACCTCTGAACCAAATATTCCTTCCAACTATGAAACAAGTGTAAAGACATCATTTTGAGGGAATTATGCCATTATGTTGTTGCATTTTTTTACGTTGTAAGCAAACCAGAGCGAGGCATTTGAAGTGTACATTTTCATCAACAAAGATGCTTTAAGCACACGTATAGGGGCATTTATTTATATTTTTTGAAGAAAGCTCGTAGAATGCTTTATTATTTATGCGATATAAAGAAGAGAGATTAAGTAAAACGAATGCTATGTAAATGCCTTGGAAAATGCATTGCAGGCACCAAACCGAAACCGATAGAGCAGCATACGGAAATACCTATATAGCAATGAAAGATTTCAACCAAACCTCACTTGTTAACTAGGAACTAACTGAAAACTCTTTAACCACTAGCCAGCTAAAATCCACACACTAAACTGTACTATCCCTATTCCCCGAATGGCATTCTCTCTAGAATTTCACGCATGTGTACAAAAACCAAATAAAATAAAGTGCAAAACAAGATGATTACCATATTACTATATGTCGTACATACCAAGCCAAGGACGCTCCAGAGGCAGCCGCCCCAGCTCGATCCCATTTGATCCGATCAGCAAGTTAAACTTGATGGAAAAACCAAAAGCACACAATCGATAAAGTTAGCAATTAAGCACCCGCAGCATACCACACAAGTTAGTGTATAAAATGGAGTGGAAAAACCAATATGTGGACAAGGAATACGGAATAGCAGATATTGAATGTATAGTGTTGCGCCTCCTAGTACTTTACTTATATTAAACCAGATATATCAGATACGAGTATATATGTGAATGTATATTGAAGATGCAAGCCACTGCAGTCCCTTTTCGTCGCCAACTCCTCACCAAATCGATTCGAGAGATTGATAAATCTGAGATCCGAAAATTATTCCGAAAACCAGACACCTAAATCAAACTTTATGGAAAAGCCCGATGAAAATGTTAATGTACACAATTTTTTCAATTTAAGACAAAATACAAGAAATGGATTGCATTTTACTGTAAATGGAAAATGAGTGTTTTATTGGGATATTGGGCTTGAAGCTTTGTTTTTATTTTACAATTTTGGATTAAGGTTTACTATTAAAAAATTAAGGTAATATATAAAATACAATAAAATAAAATATTAGATATATTTGAAAACATTTACAACCAAATAAAAAAATTGGTTTAGTAAATTTCGAGGGATAATACATAAAAAATTATCTCTCATTTATCAATTGAAACGCGCTAGATCTTGGGAAAATTTGGCTAAATGAAAGACCCTGGGGGCACTATAATTACAATATTCCAAGAAAACCAAAACACCATATTTATTTCATCCTAAAAGTATGCTTTTCTATCGTATCACAATTGGTTTCAAAAAGGCAACGAATTAAACATTTCTATTAAAACATTTCTATCATAACCCAATTTGGAATGGAGATTATAATTTCATATTCTTTTTGACGAAAGTGAGTTCTAGGCTTTAGAAATAATACACATCTTACAATGGAAAAGGTATGTTTCAATAAGGATGAAACAGATAGGATCCCAATCCTATAAAACTAAAAAAAAACCACCGTTAACAAATTTAGCATACTCTACTTGCATTGGAATTCACTATTCATGGGTTGTATTAGTCAAATAAAAATAGAAAATAAAATAATTCCGTCCTGTCTGCTTGGTTTAAGTACTCCATAGATTTCTTTCATTCCATTTTCATTTTATTCCATTTTCGGCCTCAAAATTCCAAATTCAAAAAACATAGGACCAACATGTTTAGGTTGCTAAATCGACTGATCTTGGCGAATCCAACGGCCAACAGGTGGAATCAGAAGCCCCTCACCACCAAACCCATCAAGTCCTCTTTCTCCAAGTTGATGAAGCCCATCGAGGGGTTCAAGCGAAATCGGATTCCCAAGATCAGTGTGGTCGGGGCAGGACAGGTGGGCACGGCCATCTGTGCGATGCTGCTGCTCCGCAATCTCACCAAATATCTGGTCATCCTGGACGTCAACTACGAGCTGGCCAAGGCGGAGGCCCTGGACTTCCAGCACGGCTCCGCCTTTCTGGGCGACGCTCGAGTGGTGCCCTGCGGCGATGGATCCCACTCCAAGGATTCGGATGTGGTGATCATAACGGCTGGTGCACGGCCATCTGGCAAGGATCGCTCCCGCCTGGCTGCGATGAGCAAGACCGTCGAAATCCTCAAGGAGGCGGTGCCCAAACTGGTGAAACTCAGTCCCAAGGCGACCTACTTAGTCATCTCGAATCCCGCCGATGTAATGACTTATGCCGTCCAGCGTATTGGAAAGCTGCCCAAGCATCGCTGCTTCACCACCGGCTGTCACTTGGACTCGGTGCGGTTCCGCAACCTCATCGCCGGACGTCTTCAGGTGCCTCCATCGCAGGTTCAGGGCTATGTGATCGGGGAGCATGGATCCAGTGCGGTGCCCGTGTGGTCCTGTGTCTCCGTCGGCGGCATCCGGCTGAATGATGTGATTAAGGACCTGGCCTGCGGCGATGATCCGGAGGATTGGTGGGGCATCATCGAGCAGGTCACCACATCCGGACTGGCCGTGGGCAAGGCCAAGGGCTATACCAACTGGGCCATTGCCCTAACCTGTGTGGATATCGTGGAGGCGATGTGCGGAGGGAGGGGGAAAATCGCCTCAGTGGGCACGGATATGAAGGGTATACACGGCATCAAGGAGAATATTGTGCTATCCCTGCCCTGTTTGGTCACCTCGGGTGGCATTAGTCATGTGTTCGAGCTGCCCCTCACTACTGTGGAGCAAAACAAGCTGATGTCCTCTGCCAATGTCCTTCTGGAGGCCCAGTGCTCTCTGAAGATCTGAATGAGTATACCCAGTAATACCCACACCAAAATCTCCAAAAATAGAAAAGACAAGAGAGAGAGACTGGGCAAGCCCTTTGCCCCTTCCACCTTCTGCCTGAGCAAGCGAGACGAAAATACACATATGTTTTGTAGACGAGCTGTAAAAATGGAACGATAAAAAAGTAGTTTTTCACATTTCTGTGAGCCTGTGAATAGACATCTAAAATTTTGTAATTTTCCCAAAAATTATGATTAATTTCATTTCGAGCAGTGACAATTCTTTAGCTGACGTTTGGATCTCCAAGGTCTTGGGGCAGGTCTTTCAAAGAAAATCGAAAGTCTTGGGTCTTGGAAACGAATAGGTAAACAGCGAAAATGAGAAAGCAGATGGTGAGCTCCGGCGAAGAAATCTCGGGTCCCAAGACATTTGGGGTCATCATCGCGTGGAGCATTGCTCAATTTTTGGAGCCAAGGTCTACGATTGTAGCAGGCGCCCACGAATCTCAGTAGCTAATAGCAACGATCGCTTTCCGCGCTCTCCACATTATTATATTTACTTCCATTGTAATTATTTTGGGTGCAGATGCGACGAAGCGAATCAAGTGGTTGACCTAGGGTTGCGACACGCCAAGATTATGCAGCATCCCGTCTAATAACCACAAGTGTAGCCAAGTGTAACAGGCCACCAGGCGAACAGAAGTTGGGCAGGTGGCCCACTCAAAAGTCGGAGATTTTCAACGCCTCGTTGCATCGTCTGGGAAAATGTTCCGCTACGATTTTGGGCTATTGTTGTAGTAGAGTGAGTGCGAAGACACGATCGAAGTGGAAAGCCACGCCCACGCAGGCCCTTTCCCCGCCCTATAATTTGTTTAAATAAATGGAAAATGTTTAACACTATTTAGCTGTTTGTTTGGCTAATTGAAATTCACTAGGCGCACAGTGCGTGGTGAAAGTAAGCACACACATCTGGATTTCCAGCTACCTGCTAAGTGATTTTCGGGTTTATGCTGGAGTGATATGAATTCTTCACTTATGTTTCCCTGTTCAAATGCTACAGTTTTTCCCCCAAAATTAAAAATACATATTTATGGAGAGATCCCCCATGGAGCCTGACGAATGTACATATGTTTTGTTTATTGTTAGTTTGTTTGTTTTGGTTGTAAAATTCCGAATAGGCTTACAGGAATTATAGGCGGGGTGACGATAAGAGCTATCGAATCTGTGGAAATTTCGACCCGATAATAGGTTTCTTCTTTTGCTGTTGACCTATTGAAATGCGACAGTTTCGCATGTGTTTTTGGGGGATGCGTGGGATGATCGTGGACCATGTGATGCTGGTCTGTCTTTATAGAGAGCCTTATAGTGGTACTCCCACTGCTAAACATTTACATCTTCTTGTTTTTTTTTGTATTTTCAAGTTTCGTGATAATCTGCGCACCATTTGGTTTTCCCAGAGTAATCCCCACACATGCCATCATCTGTTTTCGATGTGCATCCGAGTGTGACCTTTGAACAGGCGAACAGCCAGTGCAGCCTGCATCCGGTGCATCCGATTTTCTCCCACATCCGAGGGCTTTGGGTTATATTTAACAAATGCATGCGAGTTTTGGGTTCGTTGCATTTTCGTTTCGGATGCTGGATGCAGTTTTCCACAGCACGATCTTCGCCTACTATCAATTTTGTCAGCCTGTTTGGCCTGGTCACGCTTCGGTGATCTTCTGAATGGGATTAGGGGAGATTATCTCTATTTGGGCACGGAGTTAGAGTTTTGTCTGTTCGATTTTCTGCTAACCTGTTCTATTGATCTATTTGGTCACGCTCCACTGATTTTTCCTAGAAGTGCACTTTTGACCCTTTTGTGTGCCCAACCAAATAGTTTTTCACTTAGGTTTGGTACCTGCTATTGATGCTGGCCTCATCGTTTAATCCGTTTGGTCACAGCTCAATGATTTTTCGCGGAAAATGCATAGGATTTATCAGGTAGGACACCCACACCACACTTTGCACTGGTTGCGTTCATTAAAATCTGTAACCCTGTTCGAATGCTACAGTTCTCTGACTCTTAACTCTTTCTAAGGCTCGGATTTTACATCCATGAGGATCTATAACTAAAATATTTGATGGGCTCCTTTCAAAATCTTTGTTTGCCTGATATTTTGAACCAGTTCGTTATGCCTCACTGACTCTTGAGCTACTGTATGGATATTCTTAGGAACCAGATTTAGACTATTCTCAGCTATTGATTTTGAGCCAGTCGGCATATATTCTTTTTATTTTGAAACCCTGGTATTTCGGTACACTTGGTTGCACATTAGTGATTTCCTCCTAAAGTATTGGACGCTACGTGCCATCTTACATTTACCTAAAATGTACAAAAAGGTATATCTGTTTTTGGATGCTGCGAGCCTGTTGAAATGCTATAGTTTCTGGAGGTTTCCTTTTACTTTTGGACATAAATCAACGAGATAATAATGAGAAATGGGGTTAGGATGCTGAAAACACCCGCAATGTAATAGGCAAACAAGAAATGAGACAAGCTCAGCTCGAAATTATATTAAAAGTGAAAAACTATTAGGTTTCAAGATCCGGTTTGGAATTGAAAAAAAAGGAAGAACATTTTTAAAATCGAATAATCTGCAGGTCCTTGTTGGTTGTGGACACATTCTTTTACAGTTTTTTTTTTCTCGAACGATTTCTGTTTGTGATCTATGTTAACCTGTTCCATTTTTTGATCATGGTCACGATTCATTAATTTTGTGACATCTTTTCTTCACATAAGAAGATAATGCAGTTCCAACGCTGAAATATTTGTGAGCAGGTGGAAGTATGGTTTTCCAGAGACTTTTTGAAAATCATGTTGGCCTGATTAATTTTCAGAAAGTGATTCCGCTTCATTAGTTTTCATTTTAAGACGTTTAAAAAGGATTTTCCCAATATATGCTATTTTTACATAAAAATGAATTCTGTTGAACTTCTAGAGAATTTCCGTCGTACAACTGTTGTTGTGCACCACCTAATTTGATCTTTGAACATTTAGAAAACGAGATAAAGGTCACAGAAGTGTAGCATTTGAATAGGATCTCAGAATCTGAAGGTAGGATTTGAAATGTACATATATAAAATTACTGCAATAATATAAGAAAAGTAATAATAAACACAGTGTTTGTAGGAGCAGGTAAGCGTGACCAAAATCAGAAAACGGAACCGGCAATCAGAATTTCAAAGCAGGATTCTGGATCCTGGAAAATATCCTGACCCAGACCCGATTTTCAGCAGCCTAATATTCCACACTAAGGGAAAAGGGTCTAAACGTTCTAAGGCCAAGAATAATTTTCTGGAATCAAAAAAGGTTTTCTTGTTATGTATAAAGGGGATCCGAGTTTCTATTTGAAATATAATATTCAAGTGAATTTATTCAACGATTCTGTTTACCTGTTCGTTTGCTACACTTCATGCATGCTTTTATGACTTTCGTTACGTTTCATCGGTTAAAAATATCTTCTAATCTTTTAAACACCCTGATGGTACTCTTTTAATTCTTTCTGTTTTTCCAAACGGTCAATTTTGAGTGGTGTGTGAGTTCACAACGGGTTAAATGGTAGCATTTTAATAGGCGAACAAAAAATAGTATAAGTTGATTTTATGTGAAAACTTCAAAAATACAGGACAGATTTTTCTATTCACCTGTCTAACATTCATGGTATCCTGCTAGTCCTTCAGCGAATGGTTTCGCTTCAGTGATTTTCATTTGATTTTAAATTCAATAGATATTGTAAGGTCCTTCTTTAGCCTACGATTTTTCTTTAAGGATTTTAACATGTCAATAATGATTTAATCGATCTTTTATGAAGTGATTTTAAAATGTAAATTGTAGCATTCGAACAGGGTAACAACAAATGTTACAAGCTGAGGTTGAACTGGAAAGGTTACAGGTTATTCCAGGGAAGATGCTGCAGTGAAGATTTTCCCATACACCCTGTTTTAGAATCATGCTAGCCTGCTTGCTTTTCAGAAATTGGTTACGCTTCTTTGATTTCCATTCAGAAGAGACAGTTTTCTTGGGAAAACTCTGCCAAAAATAGGTCGCACTTCGTAGAATCTTTTGTTCGGTGGGTGCAGATCTCCTGCTGCGATCGTTAGTCTGACAATTTTGCTAACCTGTTCCCTGGATACACACGAGTGCGCTTCAGTGATTTTTCCCATCATCGAGCGAAGATGCCTTGCCCTGCCTGTGGGCTCTTTTCTTCTCCTGGCTTCGCTCCTCCAGGTTGCTGTGAACCTGTTCGAAAATTATGCATCGATGCGCATCAGTGGCAATCATGGCAGCATAATAATGGGATGCTGCTGATGAGGCGGCTAATAAAGTGCCGAGGGTACCTGAGGCCTCAGCCAGATCACCTGGCTGCCGATTCTGTTCACCTGTTCGTTTGCTACACTTTATGCATGCTTCGGCAGTTTTCTAATTATGATTTATGATCTCTGGGATTAGACGAACAATGGGCGAGGTTCCCAAGGCCTGACCTTTGCTGACTTCCACACGATCTGTTTGCGGTTGAGCCCCGAGGGCCCATGATCACCGCAAATCCCCTGCAGACAGCATACAGCCAAAGGCTTAAATCTGTATCATTCGAATGGGAGAACAGAACGGCAGAGCTGGGCTCTCCATCTATCTGTCTGCTCTTCCCAGGTAGACGGGCGAACCCGAGAAGTCCCTTATTTCTGGCCTCAATCTCAGCTCACTTTTGGGATGCTGTTGGCCTGATCGTGAGGTTCGGCTTGATTGCACTTTAAACCGCAGGCGGTGGCCCGAGGCGAATGATTTCAGTTCCAGGAAGTCCAAACAACAAAAGGCCAGGGTTTGATGGATGGTTTTTGTGTTTGTTTTGCTAATTGATTTTGAACAGGCTAGCAGAACGGTTAGGAAGGCAGTTGACTATCCCGGAAAGCTGATATCCTATTATTTTCGAAAACTCTTTTGCAGCCCAAGTGCTAATTCCTATAATTGAATGCGATGGCTTCCTGTTTATTTTAATACGGCGTGAAT